AAATAAGGTAAGATGTAGTTGGTAAACCAGTGTTAGAATCTAAATTTGGTTTACCAACTACGCCTTACCTTACATGTCTAAATTTGGTTTACATACTACACCTTACCTTACATGTCTAAATTTGGTTTACTAACAACGGCTTACCTTACTTGTCTAACACTGGTTTACCAACTACATCTTACCTTACTTGTCTAACACTGTTTTACCAACTACGGCTTAACTTACTTGTCTAACACTGTTTTACCAACTACGGCTTAACTTACTTGTCTAACACTGGTTTACCAACTACGGCTTACTTTACTTGTCTAATACTGGTTTACCAACTACGGCTTAACTTACTTGTCTAACACTGGTTTACCAACAACGGCTTAACTTACTTGCATGTAAGGTAAGGCGTAGTTGGTAAACCAAAGCTTGGAGAGTTGAGTTTCAGAATTAATGAATTAGGATCAAGGGATTTGAATTTCGAGTATAGATCCGGGATACTGTAGTAAATAGTTAACTTTGGTATGTTGTTATTGCTTCTAGTAAATAGAATGATCATCTTTCGAGTGACGTGCTTACTTCAGTAAGTATTCTCAACTTTCCTGGAGAAAGAAAGAGATGTGACTTTTTCTACAGGAATTGCTATAATAAATATTTACCTTTTGATGAGTAAGATTTCTAAAAGTCTGCTCTAAATTTGTTTCCATGTAAATCATACCCTACTTTCATAAAACTAAAGGGTCTGGTCTAAACTGATTGCTATGTAGACCATATCTTACTTTAATATAACTATTCTAAACTGATTGCTATGTAGACCATATCTTACTTTAATATAACTATTCTAAATTGATTGCTATGTAGACCATATCTTACTTTAATATAACTATTCTAAACTGATTGCTATGTAGACCATATCTTACTTTAATACAACTATTCTAAATTGGTTGCTATGTAAAATATACGTTTTCATAGAACTAAGGGGTCTACTCTAAATGGGGTGCTAAGTAAACCATAACTTTAATAGAATTAAAGGGTTTGTTATAAATTGGTTGCTATGTAAACAATACGGTACTGTCGTAAAACCAAAGGCTCTGCTTTAAATTGATTCCTATGGAGATCATTTGTTACTTTAATAAAAATAAAAGTTATACTCTAAATTGGTTGCTATGTAAGTCATACCTTTTTAATAGAACTAAATAGTCCGCTCTGAAAAGATTGCCATGGAGACCATATCCTACTTTAATAAAACCAAAGTTTATACCTCCTGTTAGAGATTCCGAATCGACTCTGACCACGATAATGTGACCACGGCGAATAAGGTGCAGTGTGTGCCACTGATCGTCGTTTAGTCCATGACCAATATGAAGAACCTGAAACAAGTGAATGGATCAAGACAATCAATATGAAGAACCTGAAACAAGTGAATAGATCAAAACAATCAATATGAAGAACCTGAAACAAGTGAATGGATCAAGACAATCAATATGAAGAACCTGAAACAAGTGAATGGATCAAGACAGTCAATATGAAGAACCTGAAGCAAGTGAATGATCAAGACAATTTGAGAAGAGTCACATGTACATCTATCTTGTTTCCATCAGAAAACTCACATTCGTAAAATTCAAAATAACGACAACATTTACATCTACCTTCTTTTCATCTCCCAAGTTAAAGGTAATTTTAATCTTGCCAGATTCTAAGGTTACCACCAGGTGGTTGGTTGACTTTTTCAGTGTTGTAGTCAACAGTAACCCACTTGGACGACTGGATCGAAATCTGAGTTTAATGTCTTCAGCTTGAGTCTGAGAAACCTCTGGAATTCGAATCCTTATGTACTGGTGTCCATCAAAGCTGACAGTTGTAGCGTCTGAAAAACAAAACAAAAAGGGGTTGTTTGTAAGAGGACGTCTTAGAAAATGTTACAACAAGAAGCGAAAAGACATCCTGAAAACTCCATGAAGAAACACTGTCAATCTTTGTAATATGATATAATGAAAATAACCGAGATTTGACATCAATTAATTTATGTGATTTAAAAACTATCTACGTCGCTAACTCTTCTTTTATGGTCAGCGGATTTCTGAACATTAATCTCCGGACTTTTTCCAGAAACATTATGCTACATATAATTTGTTTCTTTATTTTGGAAGTTCGCACAAAGCTAGAAAAATGCTATATGCATTAGATATTCCAAAATTTGAGCTAATCAGGAGCACCCAAAGCCACTATTGGGTAGTAGTTATCCCGTTACTTGCGTGGTACGCCGCCAGAGGGCACCACAAGTGTGTCGACTTAAGGGGAAGGGTAGAGACGATGATGCCATAGACAACAGAAACTATGTTGCCAAAGTTCCACGAAGTGCCACCAGTGGAGGCGTTGCTAGGCCGCCATGACAAGTGGAAATAACAGGATAGTTTTACAAAGTGAAACGAGAGGGAGCGGCTGCCCTATAAAAAGGTGATATCGTATTTCGATATCAGATATTTTAAGTGGATTGATTTACTAAGGTTTATGAACATATATTTCATCATATCTTTACATTTCCTGACCATTTATATGTAAATCGTCCTGAAAAAGATGTTTATTTAAATATCATGCAATGATTTAAAATTAACTTTTTCACCGGTTTGACCTTATGCTATCCATACAAATTGACAACATATTTCATTTTACACATGATACTCTATAGATTTATCTTACAAAAGTTTTACAAGGATGGAAACTCTACTTCCACATATCATTACACCATCAATGTCTAAATTTAATTATGTTAAAACCATTATTTTAACGACAATCTTATATTCCGTAGAATTTTAACAAATCTGCTGTTATCTATTATTTGAATTAGATCACAACTTATCTTTTTGTTTTCAATTATAAATATGTATTTGTAGTACATGTATTTTACAAAGGTTGGCCATGTTATTAAATGTTGTATGCAGATTTCAACTACACTTAATTGCATACATTTGACAAAGATGTTTCTATACTTCCATAGGACAGTATGCAACATACAGACGTTCTTTGCATTTCCATCTGTGGTTCACTAACACCATGGAGACATTTCACCCTAACTCATTGTCACATGTTGAGTCTATCTAACTTCAAAACACGTGAGCTGCATACTTTCTATAAACATATTACGACTGTTTCACTAACTATAATTTTAACATCTAGTTAATAAAGTCTGTAGTAAATCATTATGCTACATAATAAATGTAATTAATCACTATTATATAATAATAACACTTATAATTTTTCATAAATCTTTGAGGACTGAACTTTCTTGGACACATGTCGACAACGATAATAAGTATAATAGATACAATATTGTCCACACAGAGACTCCTGCTGTTTCGCTGTCACTAGTCAACGATACATTTAATCCAACATACATATTATCCAATATTTGAATGAGGCTAATTCATTTTGCTACACCTAAATATAATAAATGAATGGCATGCTGTTTATTCATCAATTTTTTACTATAATTTTATAAAACATTGAAACTGTCTAAACACTATTATGAAATATCACAGACACATCACTGACGTCAAGCTAGCTAATATTTGTCTGTTAAGGACTACAAAGCTCCTCACGTGAGAAGGGTAGACAGAGAAAAATAAGATATGAAAAAGAGAGAAAGGTCGTTGACCAACATGTGTCTAATAAACGGTTCAAACTACATAATCATATATTTTCTACGTAAATTTAATGTTTACTATACTTTATCCAGAGTTTTTGTATGTCACTGAATTTAAAAGTCAGTAAACATAGTTCTTTTACTTTACGTAGTGAAACAAAACACTAAATATATATTTATGATATCTGATGGGACATTTCAGTTAGTGTACAATTATTGCATAATTTATACTCAATACTGTGCCCAACAAATGGTCAGATGTTCAGACTATGTCAGTAGGCCTAGAATAATCCTCAAAATGAAAGATCTATTCAATCCTACTTTTAATATCTACTTAAACGTGTGAAATGTATGAGATTTCATTATACACTAATGTCCAATAATTATTTTAAGATGTAAAAACTCTATTATTATGTTATACAGTAAGAATAATAATATTAACTTAATTATAATAAGCATGGTCTTTGACCAGCAGTCAATGGAGATAAATCTAATCATGTGGGTGAATGTCTGACATTGTTTTTATGTGAACTTACATGAACACTCTTTACTGTTTATTAACTGATTTTATGTTAAAGGATGGATACGTCTTATAGACCACACATTTTGTCGAGAGATCACACAACTTACAAGTATATCACTGTATTGAAAAACATTCACTTTAATATTCACAGTACTTATTGTTCCAATGATAGAATGATGTAAAATCAAAGTATTCAACAAATTCTCCATCCTATGTATCGTACAAGAGCCCTAATCAGGTTTCTGTGTCGTTATATATCAGATGAAATATAGTAGTTTCTGGTTTCATTACATGATATAGAACTGAAGTTTCCTCAAGAAGCAGTTGTTGATCAATATGTGACTAACGAACACAGGTCACAGAGTTTTACTCTTTGGTGTCACTTTTTAGAAAGTTCATTTGTTCTGTTGGGGAATATTTAAATGCTTAATCATATGTCTGCGTAAGTAAAACAAGTCTCTATAAACAAAATAGATATGACTCTCACCAAAATGACTTGTATGGAGATGATGATCACATGTTTGTACTTTTGAAAATATTCCCCAATGTTTGATACTGTACTTTATATATATCGTATATATATATTTCGATATTTCGTATTTACATATATAGTCTTTACTTATATATATATATCGAAGGTAGCAAATGGTGAAACAAGTCAGTTTTAAGCTGTAGGGGAGTGGCAATGTGAGGGTCAAGATCTAATGTTCAACACAACGTGGGACAGTCAATTTAGGTACGGATTTCAAGTGCATGATATGTAATGTATAGTTTATAAAATAAAGTAACTTTGATTACTTTGGAGAATGCTCCTTATGTTTCATTTATGGTGATTTATTCTGTTTGTCTAATAGCATGCTAGAACAAGACATACCACAGGTATTAGTACATTGGGCTGTAAGTCAGTATTTTATTAACTAAAATGTTTTCATAAATAGCATATTAGTATATCTTGAAGTTTTGTTCACAAATGTTTCAGTATGGTTGTTGAATATGTTAGTTTACTTACATACATTAATGATATTACATCGGGTTATGATGAAACATGAGTTTTATATATTAATGATATCACATCGGGTTATGATGAAACATGAGTTTTATATATTAATGATATTACATCGGGTTATGATGAAACATGAGTTTTATATATCAAATATAAATAGAGATTTGTCAAAACTGTTATTCATGAGGCGTAATTTACCATAAAAGACTAAGCAAGACATGTACAGGACAGTAATTAATAAACTAAGAAGTTTTTGTAAATAGTATCTTAGTTTTGTTAACAAATGTTTCAGTATGGTTGTTGAATATGTGATTTTACTTACATACATTAATAATATTACATCGGGTTATGATGAAACATGAGTTTTATATATCAAATATAAATGGAGATTTGTTAGAAACTGATATTCATGAGGCGTAATTTATCATAAAATACTAAGCTAGACATGTACAGGACAGTAATTAATAAACTAAGAAGTTTTCGTAAACAGTATCTTAGTTTTGTTAACAACTGTTTCAATATGTGTGATACTTAAGTCCGAGATTTTACTTACATATACTAAAGATAGTATATTAGTTTATGATTAGAAATGAATTTCATGTAAGAAAATCACAGAACAATTAATTTTACGGTAAAAATTTCCAAATCCATGTGAGGAAATATCTGTTTTGAAACAGTCGAAGAATAATCACTTGATTTATAACTAAAGGTTCTATTATTGTCAACTCTTTTTAGGCATTAATCATTTGTGAACTATATATTCGATGCTTTGTTAAACTGACAGGTTTATATAGTGTACATGAAGTTAAGTTTTGCACTCATTTTAGGTGATAAAGATAATACAAGCTACCGTAACATTGTTTCACAAATCTATGTCAGTTTTGAAAAATTACATTTTCTGAGACTGAAACATCAATGAACAAATAAATATAACATGTAATTGTAAGCTTGTTAATATTTAAATAAAAATTAGACTGTTTGTTGTAGACTGATGCGTGTGAACTTGTGAACGAGTTTATCAACACAACTAACTCTCTTACCACCCAAGTACATAATTCGTTGGATTGTATAATGAAATCTCATGCATTTCCCTTTGTTGATGTAGTTTTAAGTATAAGTAGATATCATAAATATTAGAAGTAGAACTGAATCGGTCATAGTCACACTAACTTTCATTTTGAAAACTACAGATTCTGCCGTTCTGAATTTTAATAAAATAAAGAGGACCTTATAACATGTTATATCAATAACATGATAATAAAATCGATATGTAAACAAAATAGAGGTGATATTATTAACTTATTTTTCTGAAAAACAAAGCAAGATAAAATGATTTAATAACAACAGAGATCTCATTGATCAAATGACAACCAATGCAGTAGCAGTACAAAGAATAAGGGACTATCTTGAAAATAAATATAAACCAAAGCCTACCAGGATATGTGACACTTGTATTTTTAGTGTCAACAAACACTATTGTAAGTTTGTAAAATAATACATGACACAAAGGGGGATGTCAACACGGTGACTTGTTTTTCACAAAGATATTTCAGACATTTAGTATGTTCTGTATGTAATTGTTATGACATTAAATGTCAGTGTAATAATCCTAATGGAAATGTTTACGCAAGGAAAACCTTCATCTCGTCATTAATTTAAAAAGTGTCATAAAAAATAACCTACACTGCTGCTAGATAA